TTTCCCACCCCTTGAAGACCCCCAGTATCAGAGCACAAGACCACTGCAGCATGAGACCACAGAACCCCGCATTGTTTTCTTGTTTCCTGATACCATCTCCGTGCTGTAAATGTTATTAACTGTCCTGTACCCACCAATGTAAAAGTATATGTTTCTCCATTTTGCCTTTTTAAAATTGCATTGAGGTGGCATCGGTTAATAAAAGTATATAGGTTACAGGTGTACAATTCTATTATACATCATCTGTATATTATATTGTGTTCCCCACCCGAAGTTCCATTTTGCCTTTTATCAAATCCTAGAGATTACCTCCAAACCATGCTTTCTCCTGCCTCCTTAACGTACCACCAATGGACTTCATGCTTCTTCCTTTGGTATTCTCCTTTGATTCTAATGTATAAAATATGCTGCAAAATTGCCATTCTCCAGAGCATTTGAGATCTTGCTCCCCAGCATATGTCGTCAGTTTGGTTCAAATAAAAATTCTCCACAGGTTTGGACATTTCTTACATCACAAACCTAACCCCATATTAATCAAGTTAAAGTTCTGGAAAATTTCTTGGGGTCCTTATAGTCACCTTAAACACCAATTAAACCTGTGACTGGGTTTCTGACTTGGGAAGCATCAGTGTGTAAAGAAAAGCAAAAATTAGGGAGACTCTCTTGTCAGGAAATGGAAAACAAATATAGATGTTTAGGTTTCCAGGCCAATCCACAGAGATATTTTTATTATTTTAAAAAATATATCTTTATTGATTTCAGAGGAAAGGAGAGGGAGAGAGAAACATCAATGATGAGAGTCATTGATCGGCTGCCTCCTGCACTCCCCTGACCGGGGATCGAGCCCACAACCTGGCATGTGCCCTGACTGGGAATTGAACCCTGATCGCCTAGATCCTAGGTCGATGCTCGACCACTGAGCCATGCCCTGCCAGGCTTATTGATTTTTAGAGAGGAAAGGAGAAACATCAATTTGTTGTTCTGCTTACTTATGCATTCATTGGTTTATTCTTTTTTAAAATGTTTTTGATTTTTTAGAGAATGGGGAGGGAGAGATAGAAACATTGATTGGCTGCCTCCTGCACACCCCCTACTGGAGATCGAACCCGAAACCCAGGCATGTGCCCTGACCAGGATTCGAACCTCCATCTCCTGGATCATAGATAGATGCTCAACCTCTGAGCCATGCCACGCTGGCCAGGCCCAAGGATACTTTTTTCCTTTGCTTTTCAGACAGAATGAAACGGAGAGACAAACTTCGATGCCACATCGATTAGCTGCCTCCAGCAAGCGCCTCGACAGGGGCCAGGGATGGAGCCTGCAACCAAGGCATGTACCCTCGGCTGGAATCAAACCCTAGACCCTTCAGTCCACAGGCTGATGCTCTAACCACTGAGCCCAAACAGCCAAGGCCAGTAAGAGGTGTTTTGATGGTGGCTGTATGTGTAAAATGCCGATTGAGCAAGGTGTTTTTTATTTTTAAAAAAATATATCTTTATTGATTTCAGACAGAGGAAAGGAGAGAGAGAGGGGGAGACAAAAACATCAATGAGAGAGTCATTGATCGGCTGCAGCCCACAAGCCGGGCATGTGCCCTGACCGGGAATCGAACACCCATCGCCTGGATCCTAGGTCCAGGCTCAACCGCTGAGCCACACCCGGCCAGGCGAGCAAGGTGTTCAAAAGCAGCATTCCTTCCCTTCATTAAAAACTGCCTCCTCCCATCATAGCTGGTTTTCTCCGTGGTTAGTGCTCAGGCCCCTGGACCCAAGGGTCCCAAGTTTGATTCTTGCCAAGGGCATGTACCTTTGTTGCCCCTGGTGGGGGGGAGGATTAAAAAAAAACAAAAAAACCCTGCCTCCCACTTGTGTACTCAGGTTTTCTGTGCTGTGCTCAAGAAAACATGTAGATATGAGGGATGGGGCTGACAGAAGAGGGTGAAGGGGAGATAAATGGTGAGGGAAGGAGACTTGACTTTGGGTGAACACACAATATACAAATGAGGTATTATAGAATTATACACTTGAAACCTATATAACTTTATTAGCCAATGTAACCCCCATAAATTCAATTAAAAAAAGACATGTGGATATTCCCTGTATGGGTGGCTGGGCTGGTTGGAGTGTCCTCCCACACATCAAAAGGTTTCGGGGTCAGTACCTAGGTTTCTAGGGCACATACCTAGGTTTCTGGTTGGATCCCCAGTCGCGGGGAGACAACTGGTGCTTCTCTCCCCCTTCCTCTCTCTCTAAAAATCTGAACCTTGGGCGAGAATTAAAAAAAAAAAAAAAGACGCGGATATAGCAGCAGGTCTTTCCCCTGGGTGTGTGAACCGCTTACTTTTGCTTTGATGTCCCTCACATCTTCATTTCTGGCACCTAACAAGGGGTCTTGCTGCCCAAAGGAATGAAGGAAAAAGGCCAAAATAAATGACCAAATGTGACCGTCTTCAAAACAGGAGGGAGGTTAACGCGCAGTGAGTTGGAATGCAGGATAAAATAACAGAGCGGGTGCACCGCAAATAACCCCAAGTTTCAGAGGCGCTGGACCGAGAACCTCGGTCCCGCCCAGCCCTGCCATCTTCAGCGTGACTTCCCGCCTGGCACCTGCCCAGCAGCCGGGGAGGCGCTGCCCAAAGGGGCCGAACACCCCGGCCCTGCCCGGCGGGCTCGCCCACCCAGTCCCTTCATTTAAAATGGGTGGAGGGCTCAGGGGCATCGGGGCAGGGCCTAGGGCCGAGGTCGGGACGCCGAGCTAGCGCTGGCCCAGCTCCGCGCCACGAGGCCGAGCAGCAGCAGGCCGGCGGCGGGCTGGGCAGGAGGAGGGGAGGGACAGCCCAGGGGCAGGCAGGCCGCGGTCCTGGAGAACGTCCTTCTTCCTCACGCGGGAGTCCACTCCGGGCAGAGGCGGAGAGTAGGC